AMKWTTTAAGCAATAAAAAAAAAACCATCATAATTCATGTCAGCATAATTTATGCTACATGATTGTACACTGGTGCAAACATTCAACAGAAAGTATGTTGTTGCATGAAGAAGCCTGCCAAGTAAGCTCAATTCCTGAGTTACATCACACAAAATACCAAGCACTATAAAGATGTTATAAATATTTTACAAGTCATGTATACATCTACAGCTTTTTAATAAGCTGAGTCTTACAGTTAACTTCTTTCCTGAAACTTTTTTATTTCCAATATCCTCTTTTGTGTTAGCATCTGTTGCCACCGCAAGAGTCTGGTATCTGCGGAACCAACAGCAAAAATATTCAATAAATGTGCACATACCTGGTATTGACCAAGTTTTTTTTTTATTGCTTTTTTTTAATGGAAGTCAATCCTGAGCAGGCAAGATGGACCCATCTTTCTGGGTTTGGTAGCCAATCAGAACACAGGATTTGCTTCATCTTGCCCATGGGTCCCAGGAGTTTCATTAATGTTTTCTGCAGGAGGGCAACTGGTTTTCACAGGCGGGCAAAACTCTTTGAAGTGAACTTCTTTATAAGATAAACTTTCCTCCAGAACGTCAAATCAGGTGGGCAAAACTGTCTTCACAACCGGTCAATTTGCCCGGTGCCTGGCCCTTAATGAAACCCCTGGGGTCCTGCCAGTTACAACTGTACAGAGCACATAATACATGAAGCTGCAGCTGAGCTTTATGGAAACTTTTCTTGAATTTATTCATTCAGCTCAGTTCATGATCAGACATGGCTCTATTCTAAGAAAATTAATACATCAGTTATGAATAAAAAGCATTCTAGGCTGTACACAAAGCATTATAAGCTGCATATTCAAATATCTCCTAATCAAGTAACTCAAGAAAGCAATTGACCTTCTGGCCTAAATCCTTTTTCTTAAAAGGAAAAGAAAAGTGCTGCTGCAAAAAACTTACTTGTAAGATTCAATCAGCCTTGATGAGCTACAAATTACAAATGAGTCTGTCTTTGCAACATAACTCAGGGCACCGGGCAAAAGAAAACCTGGGAGAAATCTCCCAAAGGCAAAACTCTCTTGTTCAAAGAAAGACAACATTCCATCCATGGACTGGATACATATGAAGTCCTTGTCTAAAAAACAAAAAAAAGGAAGAGAAAAAAGGAATCAAAACACAGCAATACTTTAGAGAGAGACAACCTAACCAATATTCTGTCTCCCTTAAGTAAAGTCAAACAATTTCCAATATTTTTTTTCAAATGCTATGTACATGGTATATTTATCAAATTGCAAAGCTTGGCCTTTGCATTAGAAAACAGTCCTTAAAACTTAGCATGGTTTTGATACAGTGAAAGGAAATCTACCTTAAGTACCATTAAAAACTGAATCATTGGATAATGCAATTCAAGAGCTTTCATTGGCTTAGCCTTCAAAGGTCATGAGCCATTATACCATATTGTGCGCACATGAAGATGAGTTAAACCAGAAGTGCTTTTGTACACTCCATTTGTTCTTACAAAATAAAGTTGGTAAGATTTATTTGGATTTTGAGGAATTTTTAATGAAACAATCATTCCACTCGTGCTTGTTGGATAGAAGATGATTATGGCCAACTTGGCCATATGGGCCTAATTGGCCATTATCATCTCATATCCAATGCTCACTCATGAAAAAAGTTTTATTAATTATTATAGCATACATTTTTAAAATTTTCAGAAAGACAAGAAAGTTCTCCTACTTGGAAAACATGTTCTCACATGGCAAACATCTGCATTAGTTACAAAGGAAGCTTGGTAAAAACAGTGGAAAATGCAACAACCTCACTTTGCAGTATCTGTTGATAATTGACTTCAGTTAATCAAATGGAAGTGACATACTTTTGACACTTCCAAAAGGACCATATGTCATTTTATAGGCTGTTCTTTCCAAAATATGTTCATACATCATCTTCAGAGTGTAATGATTTCCATGTTCGACAGCTCCTGAAACAACTGCAAAGAGAAAATGTTGTAATAAAATGAACCAACAAACACCCCCCTACGAACCCTTTAACTCCCATGAGTGATCAAGACAGAATTTCTCCTTACAATATCAATACAATAATAAGCAGACAAGTGATGAGAATTAAGAAAAATATCAATAAGGGGGGGGGGTTAGGCAGTGATCACTAACCAAATTCTCTGAACTAAAATCATAAGAATTGTTTGGCAAACTGTAGGGAGATTAACGACGGTAATAAGATCCTAGGAGTGAAAGGCTGAGTTAACAGTCTAGTCAGGGCTGTGGTCTAGCAGTGCCTGGTGGCCCCTGGTGCCTTACTTTTGCTCTTGGGCGACTCAGGAATCTTAGTTTTTTTCATAAAAAAG